CCCGCCCCAGGGTCCCCGGCGGGCCTCACCGCTCACGGCGTGCGGAAGGACTGTGACGAGCAGGCGCTGGCTCCGCATCCTCACGCCCTGGTCCGGGTCCTGCATCCTCAAGATCACCCGCTCCATCTGGCACAGGGGCCGTGAGCGGCTGCGCCGGCTGCCCCTCCCCCAGACCCACACGCCCGGAACCGGCCCGCCCGGCCCGGATCAGCGGGCTCCAAGGGGACTAACGCGCCCTGATGGGGGGAAGCCAGCGGGGGAGGTCTTGCCGCCCCCCCTGCGCAATCCCCGCGCCCCGCGTTCCAACTCGCGCGCGCCCCTCCTGGGGACCCCTCCCCGAAGCCCGCCCGCACCCACCTTGCTCAAATACGGCTTCTGGGCGCGGGGGCGCACGCCCTGGGGCGCAGGGCTGGCGGCCATGGCGAAGGGGCGCGGCCGGGGTGTCCCCGAGTCGCCCGCGCCCGCCCCCTGCCGACTGCCGGGGCTGGCCCCCAGGCGTGGCCGCCGAGCTCTCAGCCCGAAGGGGCCGGAGGTGGGAACGCGCAACCTCTACAACCAAGGAGATGCCGCCCTGGGCCGGAAGCTTAGAAAAGCGCCTAAGCTGGGGCGGGGAGGTGCGCTCCGGGAGAGGGGGCTGCTAGACAGGGACAGCCTCAGGCTGGAGTGGGGATTCGCGGGGATGGAGAAGGGGCTCAGTGGAAGGGGAGGGGGCTGGGTGGGGAAGGTGGGCTCAGTGGGGAGGGGGGGCAGTAGTTCCAGGGGCGCTCACTCATCCCCACCTGACCTGTGGCCTGTGGGGATGGGTGGAGGAAGCTGAGTTCTGGGTGAGGGGTACGGTGTGTAACTCGTGAGTGCCACCAGCTGGGGACCACTGGGTGATGCTGGTTATGATCCTTGCTGTGGGTCTCTGGGGGTCCTTCAAAGCTGGGACTCCATCTGACTCCCTTCCCATGGGGCACTGCACAGGGGCCTGGGTTGGATCAGGCAGGGGATAGGCAGAGATCCCACCCAGGACATCCTGGGAGGGTTGGGAGAGGGGCTTTATTGGGGAGGGGGTTATCTAAATATCCCATTCCCAGACTCACCGGCCCCCTGGGATTGAGCCTTTCTCGTGCTGTGGCACCCCTCCCAGACCCCTTGAGCTGGGCCTCCTCAGGCCCCACTGGGCGAGGTGGGTGACCCATTTTTGTTTCGGAGCTAAAGCCGGGCTATTTTTGCCTTGTTGAAGATTGCCTTCCCCTCCCCCAGGGCTCAGGGGTGCTGGGTCGGTTGGAAAGGGGCAGGTAAGGATTAGCATTTAGCTGGGAGCCTGCAGATGATCTGAGTTCATTCCCAAAGCGGGCAAGGCCAGGTCTAGGTGGTCTAGGGTGGTCCAGGGAAGTGAAGGCAGGGTCAATGAGACCCAGCCACCACCACCACCACTGCCTAGGCAGACTCAGGCCAGGCAAAGACCTGGCCACCTCCAGCCTGGGGACAATTGACCTCCCTGACACTTCCAGAGAAGGGGCAGCAGGGTGAGGGGTCCTGTCTTGGAAAGACTGCGGGCAGACAGGATTCACCCAAGTGAGTCCAAGGGGCCAATTCCCACCCAAGGCCGCATGCTCCCAGCACTGGTGGCCAGCTACCATCTGCTCAGATGGAGTGGGTCTGAGCCTGCATGTCCCCAGAGATGGGGGCACTGATGAGGGGACTCAGACAGATGATTCAAGCTCCCCACCTTCCCTTTGACTCTGCTGCCCTGGCCTGAGGCCCTGCCACCTGCTCTGGATGAATGGTGCCCTCCCCCCCGCCCAGATCTCAGTTTAGGTGTGGGCATCAGAAAGCCCCTCTGTGCTGCCCTCTCAGCTCTCCCCCCTGCCACCTGGAGGGATTTGCTTTGGTTTCAATACCCTTTCCCCCAATATTAAGGTCCCCACAGGAATGGGGGCCTTTGGATCACTTGGGTTCCTGAGGTCCTGTGGAAACACCCCCCCCACACACACACACTTTCATGGGTACATGGACACACAGAGTAGAAACACACACACTTGTATGGCACACAGGGTGGAGACCTGCGCACGCACACACACACACACACACTTGCACGGATACATGGGCATCTGGGGAGGTCCGTAAACAGATGAATCCACACGTGTGGTGTGTGTATCTGTGTGCCCAGACTGCATCCCACCGTGTGGGTGGGACCCTGCAGTGCCGTCTGTGCGACACTTCCTCTGTGCCAGTGGCTGTGACCCTCCAGGACGTGAGCCGCCCCCCCCCCCGGGGGTTGGGTCGCTCCAGATGTCACCTCTGCCCAGAAGGATGTTTCAGCACACAGGGCCCCAGGTGTGGCCTGCGGATAACGAGAACCCAGGGACTACGTGGGGGGCGCACACCTGCTCCACTCAGAGCCCCTGGTCCCTGTCGCTCCGCCCAGAGGGCTTCCCCAGAGACACCCCTCCCAGACCCTCCCCACACACGCCGCCACGGAGGGTGGGGCAGCTCCAACAGCCAGAGCAGGGTGCGGGCTCGCGGCGGCCGGCTGGGACCGCGTGCGTCCGCGCCCAGGGCGGATCCGTGAGGGGTCGGCTGTTGGCTGGGCCCGCGGCGACGACCACTGCGTGCGGCGCCT